ACCTTTCCTAAAAGTATTGCTCTCAAAGTTGTATTGACGAAATTGTGTTTGAAACACTTGAAATGTCAAGTAATACAGGTACTGCAGTAAATGCAATGCAATATACAGTATACTGTATTTGCAAAATAATTATCAGCAGGTTCTTGCCAATAGAAAACATGACTGAGCAGTTCCTAACACCTTTCCTAAAAGTTATGCCTTGTATTGACAAACCACCTGTGTGACGTCAAAATGACAAGGATGAGTGAAAATGATGTTTTAGAAAGAAAAACTTAAAATTATTACTGGTCATTTCATTTCATTGTGTGAGAACCTTACTTTCAGGAAATTAATATACATAAAAGCGAGGGAGTTGTCATCTGCACATGCAGCAGAGGGCCATAGCGTGACATTGTTTACAAACAAACGTCTACCAATGAGTCTTTGCAATTTTAACGTGTGTTATCATCGTTTGGGACTTAATTCCTGCATGTGCGAAGGTGACAACCCCTGTGCTTTAATAGTTTCTAGGTGGAACCTTTAATCTATATAAGACTGTTATACACTAAATACAACTTTGCTGCTCACAGTAATACAGCTAACATTCTTTCAAGTTTTGTTTACTTTGGTTTCATAATTCCATGATGTTTTCAGTATACTGTAAAGGGGGTAATTATTCACTGGGTTTTAATTTAGCTTATTTCGCTGACTGGAAAAATGCGCTAAATTAAAACACAGTGAATATGTAAAATTTAGCATAGAACACATTATCTAAATGACGAAACCGTGAATTTAAAACCCACTGAATATGCCCGAAATGGTAAATCAGTGAAATTTAAACCCAGTGAAAATTAGTCATTTTACAGTATTATCAATGTCCTGGTTTCCAATGTGACAACTAAGTTTGATCTGGTTAACTGAATATTGCTTTTACAATACAGGCTACAAACAACACCGCAGTGTGCCTGTTGTACATTGGCAAACTAAAAGAAGGACTGAAGATATTGGAATCATTGGTGTACAGTGACCCGACTAGATACCAACAAGAAGGCGTACTCTTTAATTTATGCACGATGTACGAGCTAGAATCGTCAAAAAGCATGTATAAAAAACAGAAATTATTAGATTTGGTAAATCAACACAAAGGAGATGGGTTCAACGTACAGTGCTTAAAAATGATATAAGACGTAAAAACGATGTACAAGATGTAAAAATATTGTGGAATACGCATCACTGCGTGAACAAAGACGATATTATGGAATTTAAGTGACAACATCAATAGTTTTCTCTAGAACCATGTATTGCTCTTAAAGTTTTAAGTTGTATTATCGACAAAATTGTGTTTGAAATTTTGACATATCAAGTAATATATGTACTGCAGTAAATGCATGATATGTGTCCTATTGTTCTTGTCGATAACTGATGGACATCACCAAACAGTTTGGTTGGTTGTGATTTAGTTTTCAGTGTCATCAAGTTACCAAATCGCACACATTCTCTGTTGAACAATTGAAGATGGAATACTGGTAATTAATATTACAAATTCAATATTCTATGTGAAGCATTTTGTATTACAATTATATCTTGAAATGCACACCAGACATTGACACGTTTCCTGTATAGTCGATCAGTTTTAATAGGAGGATATTTTACGCATGTTGCCATGTGCAAACTTCAAACAATGTGCATTTTCTGGATTACCGGGTAGTTGTGTTTACCAGGCACCCAAAGCACAATTTGAACAGCAATGCATGACTGGATATATCGTAGCAAAGACAAATATTTAAACTGAGATTTGATTTTGGACCAAGCTTTATAGACAATACAAACAAGTATTTACAAACAAGTATTTCTAATTCTGCATACATTGTTGGTGAACTAGAAACATGAACTGTTTTTATTTGCATGCATATAACAAGAACACTAAATTGTTTCTTAGCTTATTCTTTCAGTATATTTACTGATTTAGTATGAGAAGAGAGCTGAGCACAAATGATTTGGGTACACAGTTCAATCCCAGGTGTTATCTGTGAACTTGCATTTCTGTAAACTTTTATTTCAGTACATTCCTACATAGTCGATTTGTTGCAAAAGAATTGCCAGTAACCTGGGGAATTTAGTATAAATTGGTAGTACCTTGGGTGTGAGTTCATCTTAAAAGATGACCTCACAGGTGAGCATGCATGTCAGTCATGATATGTGTTGTATTTATTCATTTCAAAAAACAGCACCTGATGTATTATAAAACAATCAAGTCAAATAAATTATAAAGAATTCAGATTTAAATTGTAATTACATATTTGTGAATATTACAAATGAGAATTGAATATTGACAGATGATACTACCCAGCGATGACTATCAATACAATGGTTTTGAAAATGCTGTCTATACAAGGATGATCCAAATAATGTGTGGGTCAACCAACTACCAATATATGTGAGAGCATGAGTGGTGTAGGTGCCATCATTTAACTAACTTGTAACAACTGCTGCTGCAATATGGAGTTTCCTGGGTGGGCTCTTGAATTTGAACTTTGTATGCATTCTACACTACAAAAACGTGTATTATGGGTGGTTTTCAAACAGATAGTCACATTGTAAAAACAAAATAAACACCAAAAAAAGGTTATTTTCCAAGTTCTACATCTTAATATTTTTTGAGAATCTCCCACGAATGAATCTGTATCGCATTTTATGATCAGATTCAGAATTTCGAGAAATCCCTCCTCAAATAGAATTGGCTTTACATTTTCTTGTACTTGGAATAAGTTATTTTTTTATTTGTAGAGGCTTTCTTTTAAAATGCTATGTTTAAGCATGGGTACCCATGCTCCAATTTGAGTACTCGCCCCCTGTGCTTAATTTGATGCATATTTGAAGTTAACGGGAGTTGCATGTCATAACCAATATGTAAATTCTAGAACACCCATTGGCCAATTCAACACTGCTGTGGAACAATATGTAAATTCTAGAACACCCATTGGCCAATTCAACACGGCTGTGGAACAATATGTAAATTCTAGACAACTCATTGGCCAATTCAACACGGCTGTGGAACAATATGTAAATTCTAGAACACCCATTGGCCAATTCAACACGGCTGTGGAACAATATGTAAATTCTAGAACACCCATTGGCCAATTCAACACAACTGTGAAACAATATGTAAATTCTAGAACACCCATTGGCCAATTCAACACAACTGTGAAACAATATGTAAATTCTAGAACACCCATTGGCCAATTCAACACGGCTGTGAAACAATATGTAAATTCTAGAACACCCATTGGCCAATTCAACACAACTGTGAAACAATATGTAAATTCTAGAACACCCATTGGCCAATTCAACACGGCTGTGAAACAATATGTAAATTCTAGAACACCCATTGGCCAATTCAACACGGCTGTGGAACAATATGTAAATTCTAGAACACCCATTGGCCAATTCAACACAACTGTGAAACAATATGTAAATTCTAGAACACCCATTGGCCAATTCAACACGACTGTGGAACAATATGTAAATTCTAGAACACCCATTGGCCAATGAACACGGCTGTGGAACAATATGTAAATTCTAGAACACCCATTGGCCAATTCAACACAACTGTGAAACACTTGCAGCATTATACAGTTAAACCATTTAATTTTCAGTTCTAGATATTTTCGTGGTTTCAGGATCTCGTGAAGACAAAATCTCAAGACAGATGACACTACTTTGTCATAGGACAGTGGAATTGTTTCCCTGCTACAAAATTTCATGATTTTCATCAACTCACAAAATTAAAACGGTTCAAAAGTTGAACCAGAGATATTTACAAGATTATCCATTATAGATGGATATATTTCAACAACCAGTGTAAATTATTTCTTTAAATTTGTTTGCAGTATACATTATTACAAGTGCCAACTTTCACTTTACCTACAAATTCATTGAATCTACATAAAAAATATTGTCATCACTTTAATATAATTGCATATCCACAATTTTACAGAAGGGTTTTGGTTTAAAACCTTTTAATGTGTTTAAATGGATTTACTACATTCTTCACTAAATATTTTTTTTATTATTAGGGATTTGTAAATATTGAATGAGTCAGTGAATTATTACACCATGTCACTGATAAAAAAATTAAAGCCCTATATTAAAAAAAATATTGACAGCCGTGATAATTTAAAAAAAAAAATTACAGTATAAAAGTAGAATTTTCTCAAATTACTAGATTTAATATTTGCCCACATGAGGGCGCTGTGCCATCTCCCCAGAGGAAAGAGAAAGCCAAAAAGTATTTTGATCATAGTTTTGATGAAATCACACAGGTGTCTCATTCACAATGCAAATCCTATGTCAGCATGATACAGTTTCAAGTCGCCTCTGATGTGTTCTGATGCGTGACAAAGCATTTTCTTGGAAAGCCCAGACATATTTTGCACTGCCATTATCTTGTGAATGATAAGTGCAAGTTTAAATGTCCTAGCCTGAACGCACTTCATTTGACAACAGTCCCAATGAGCCATATTAAATTCAAAACTTAAACTCGAGAAAAAGTGGAAAACAGTTTTGGATAATAAAACGCTGCAGATTTGCTGCATTATTATGAATATAAACTGAGAATAGCCAAACTTATATCGATATTATGTTGATTCTTCGTCAAGTATAATTTGTTATTACTACACTTACTATTCCTTACGGATCAAACTCTATATATCTAGGCAATCAACTTTGGTTTTTTTACAGAAAATTAGATGGGCATGTGCTCTCTGTGTGAACGAAAACGATGGCTTTGTTTATACAGATTTCTTGTACTTGCTTCCTCGTCGTTTGTATCGGCGTCGTCATTGGTTGGTTATAAAATGACCCTGGGTCACAGGGTCACAGGTTTTTCCTTGCCTCGTCTGTCATTAGAGTCTCCACTTTCATTATTTTTCTTGTCATTGCATTAGTAAAATGATGGTAGTAAAATAGAATATTGACTTGGAAAATAAAATACTGTAAAGGGGTTAATTATTCACTGGGTTTTAATTTTGTTCATTTCGCTGACTGAAAAATGCGCTAAATTAAAATTAAAACCGAGTGAATTTGTAAAAGTTAGCATAGAACACATTATCTAAATGATAAAACAGTGAATACAAAACCCACTGAATATGCCTGAAAAGGTAAATCAGCGAAATTTAAACCCAGTGAAAATTTTATAGTAATTTAAAAGAAAGTTACGCAAAGTTATGACCATGTTTTTCCGAAGATGTCTTGACTGTCAATAATGCTGACATGGATATTAGATAAACATGCACTGTTTGCGACAGGAAGCTTATCACCCGTTATGTTAGAATTGTCAACAAGAGTAGTTGTGGTTATTTGTGTTAGTGTTGAAAACACTAATTCGAGCAGCGTCCCTTGAAAAGCTGGGATGATGTATCAAGGTCTAAAGTAACAGTTTTTTTCAATTTTTGAAAAATCAAGAAAAACAAACATTTTCCTTCTCGCTACCTTAATGTAAAATATGTTACTGGTGAATAATTATAACACTACTGTAGAATACTTTATTTTCGCTTGGAATTTATTTTTGCTATTTTCGCTGAAGGCATGATTCCATGAAAATAAAATCCAGCGAATATACTTTTTTTTTTCCTATATTTTACATTAAACTCGCCAAAAATCAGTGAAAATAAATTTCAAGCAAAACGCCTCAAAAGCCTTTTCAGTGAAAATTAATTCCAGCGAAAATAAAGTATTCCACAGTATATTCCAATCCCAAAACTCAACTAAAACCTTTGCACTCACTATACATACCTCTAAACCATTTCTCCAAGTGTTGGAACATTAAAATATAATGAAACCATCGCAGAGGTCAACTACTGTAAATCTTTTAATTTTTACTGCTGATTATCCTGATTTGATTATTTGATGGCAATAATGTGAAATTAAAGCAGTAAACAGTTTATATGAGCCTGAACTACTTGTACTACCAGGGCTTAAAGTCCATGGAGGATTCGCTAGATGCCCTACCTTACTGCCTTGGTGCCCTTAAATTTTTATAACATAAGTTTCAATAAGTCATTTTCAATATGTTTTGCTGCAAATAGGAGTGCACTCATAATTTCAAAGTTCATGTACTTTGTACATAAGTTTTTGATCTGTGACGAGCTTGCCCACACACTGCTTTCATTTAAAGTACTCATCTCTGATTCCCTCCCTGATGCTGGGGACACAAGATTTATAAAATCATAGACTACTGTGACTCTAAACGACAACTACACATATTCTACGGATTCTCCGTTGCAGAATTGTCAGCAGTGTTGGCTACAACAGCTGCAGGGGGGGACTGTTCACTCGTATTCGGTACAGTTTGTTTGTTTTGAAAGTTCTCCTCAAATTCTTGCAGATTATCGAAGTCAGTCCTGTTATCATTGCTCGGTTGCCTGCCTTCAAAATAATTGCCTGAAGCCATACTGCTAAGATCTAAAGAGCTTGGAGTCTGGTGAATTCCAGATACATCACCAGGAATGGGCCGTGATTGTTGTTGTTGTTGTGGAGGCAACTGTTGCTGTTGTGCATTCACATGTTTCTTTCCACGCCTTTTTCCAAGTATTTTCACATAGTTTGCAGGAAGTAATCCAGGTTTCTGACCATTTACACTGCCAAGGAGCCATCCTCTAACTCTGGGTTGGAGTTCTGTTGTAAAAAATATGCAATTTGATTAATATATTTTGTTAACTGTGGCTGAGAATGTTTTGTACACACCTAACTGGCTGACAATACAGCTGTGTTACAAGTAATGTTGCTTTCAGAACGCGAGTATTGAAGCAACATTGCTTGGAACATAGCTGTATTGTCAGCCAGTAGGCTGATGTTTTTGCCGACAAGATGTGGCCACCACAGTAAAATAACTTCTTTGTAAACGAAATTGATTAATACAATTATAACACTATTACAGCTATCTCAACAATAAGTCAATGTGTACTTCAATATCGGAAATAACGTCTTCCATTTTGGGAAGTGTTTTGATGGCAGTTACCTTTTGGTGCTACATTAATAAGACTTCCAGCACGGAATGAAATCTCTTCACTACGTTCACTGTCAAAATCATATTCAGCCCTTGCAACAATGTGGTCATCTTCACCTGTTGCCCATCCATTTGGATCTGAAAAATAAACATAATTTATTGAAAAGTATGTTACTGTCTATTCTCATAACATAGAATTAGTTAAAGTTGCATTCCCACATTGTAATTATGTAAAACATCACCACCAGAACAAACTAAAAACATAAAATGTTTTAAATTAATGCTGTTTTAGCTAAAAACTTCAAATTATTAAAAGAATATACTTTAAAAAACTTCATTTTCACTTTGAATTTATTTTTGCTATTTTTGATTTGGTGAAAATTAAATCCAGCAAATACCGGTACAACTTTTTTCATATATTTTACATTCAATTCATCAACAATAAATTCCATACAAAACATCAAAAATATCAATGAAAATTTATCAAGTATTTTACAGTATCCTGTTCTCACTTTCCCACATACTTTTTATTGAGAGTCCCAGAGGGTCTTATTAATTGAGTCCTAGAAGGTCTTATTAAACACAACTACAATGTAACTTGTCTATTGTTTACAAGTCTAACTTAATTTAAAGCGCGGTGGTTGTGGCGCAGCGCATCTTCGAATTTCATGTAAATAAACAATGTATTTTACACGTGTTGTATACGTCGCTATGAGTCCCATATCAAACAGGACGCGACACGACGACTGCCGCCCTTTAAGAGATCGAATGAATTCTTATTCTGGTGCTAATTTCTAATATATAATCTCAACATTTGATAGTATACAGGGGAAGGTATCTCACAGGTTTGCAAAGTTGGAATAAATTTTTAGAATCTAGCAGTAACAAAGCAATATATGACACCATATGCCACCCAGCAAAGATTACCTGATCAGTTTCACAGAACAGGGCAGAACCATGAAAATATGTAGTTTTGAAAATACAATCATTTTGAAAAGATATTATTTGAAAACCCTGAATCATGTAACTAACCTTCTGAAGTACCGTTGTTGAGAGAACTCAGCAGTTTCCATATCAGCCATGGAGCACCAATCACAACGCCAAAGAACATAATTATTGGCCAGGATTTAGGACCATTTTCACTTAGTTTCTGTTCCGCTTGCTGATGTACTTCAGCCTGCACGTCATTCCAGACATCATTTGGCAGATTTGGTTCTCGCAAACGCAACAAGACGAGCAATCTTCGGTATAGGTATTTCAGTGTTCGAAACAACGCAAATGCAGAAATAACGCTTACCATGTGGTGTTTAAGTCTAGAGAAATGATCGGCGACGCCAAGAACAGCCCGAAATGAACTATATACAGCATTGAACGTAGATTCAAGCATCATGCTAACAGAGCCAAATGCCTGTACAATGCTTTCAATTGATTGGAATGCTGCGCGACTACTCTCCTCTGCTTGTTGTACGAATCGGCTTCCGCCTTGAGCGTCCATGCCATAGCGATTCATACCATACATGCCCCCACCGTATCCACCAATACCGCCATAACCCATACTGCTTCCATAACTTGACGAATATGGTGAATACCCGCCTCCATACATGCCACCTCCATACATGCCACCTCCATATCCACCTCCGTATCCACCACCATACAAGCTAGAAGAGTATGGTGAGTAGCTGTTCACACCAACGCCACTGGTCAGTCCTGGTCGTGTTGGTAAGGGTGGGGCCAAGCCTGGGGTTTGGTAAGTTGATGGCAGAGTAGTTGATCTAGCATTAGTCATACCACTCAATCTGATTACAAAGAGATACACAAAATTAAAGTTTTCTAGTGCTTCTTAGTAAAAGCATGATTTTATTATGTAATGACCATTGCTGTCACATTGATGAACGTATCAGCAAAGAATCATAGAAATTATATCGTTGCAGGGGACCTGAACGCAAGCATAAGAATGCAAATTAATCAGCAATGCATGGCCACCATGATAGGAGATAACTGGCACAGAGATATCTTACTTTTTTTGTTCTCAAACAACCCTGCCTACATGATCATTTCAGAAATGATACCTACATTGATGGCATCTGAAAAAATCTCAATAAAACAACCATCTCCACTTTCACAGACCTACTATATATCACTTTCACAGACCTATAGATCTCGCACAGACCTATAGTTCTCACAGAGACCATTTACATCATCAAATCTTTATTTTGTTCATAGCTATAGCTGTGGTTAAGTTTGCATTCAATGTATATTGTTTACAATATTGATTGTAATTTATTCCAATGGACACAAATTCTTTTTAATTCTCTGTGATTAATGAGTGCTTTTAGTTTGAAACTCTTTCCGTGTTTATAAGAATTCTTTGTATTCAGAAGAACTGGTCACAGTCCCTCTATCAGAGGACTGTGAACTGGTGTAACATAAAAGTATCCAGTAACTGAACTGAACCAGATTAGTATTACAGTCCATTTGATTGCACCATCACTTTCACTTAGTTCAGGCTTTCATGTTCAGGATATTGTTATACTTATTTATTTTTCCCTCTATCTAATATGGGTAAAATTTGTTTCTACCATTTTCCCTGTATTTTATTTAAACATTTTCTTCCAAAGTTTTCCTTGGTCAACACAACTGCACTATCAAAGGGCCCAGCATGGTAAAAGGTCGAAATTACAATTATTCTTCTGTCATTGATAATTATAGCAACATATCAGTTTTCTGATTCTAATCAATTGCTAAAGTTTGTTCACTTCCAAGATTAGCCAATACTACAAAGCTAGAAATGCGTGATCTTTGGACACAACCCGATATATTCGGCGGCAAGAAAATGTATAAAACAATGTATAAAATTACACTAGCGTTAACAAATACACAATTATAACTTACCCTGGAGTTAAACCAGCAGAAATACCATCCACGTTTTGCTGGTTTTGTCCGACATTTGCACCAGAGGCACGCTCCCATGGTTTCAGCGGAGCAGCCATATTTGTGCAGGACCCGATCGATGAGTCGCAGACGATTTTAACAGGTAAATTTAGCTGTAACTGCTTATGGGACCGAGGAAATATAAATTGTTAACGAACCATTAAATGTGCCTAACCCGAACGATAGAATCACAATAAAACATTGGGTATGACTAGAGTTCAGAAAACTCCCGAAGCCAAAACCAGTCTCAATATTGGATTGACCTTTGACCCTAGAATTCACTATATGTCGCGTGAGGGCGCACATTGATGTAAATCAAAAATGTAGTACTTGTCAGCAGGTGACACTCATAATTATCTAATGGATACCATTCAGTTTTCACACAGCCAATGAGTCTCAAATCTAACTACAGTTGAAAAGAATGGTCTATCTATTGTTTAAAATTGTATAAAACTAGTATTTTAAACCTGAGATACCAGCAACTTCAGAAATTAAATGTAACATTAACAATGGCTATTTGTATGGAATTAGAAAACATTTGAATGATCATTCACTGTTTTTTGGTATAGAATATTTTTTATTTAGTTCAAGCTGGAATAATTGAACAATTTGTGTGTAATCTTTTTTATCTTTTGATTACATCTACGTTTTCATTTTAAGATATTATCTAATGCCAATTATTTTTTCATATTTTTAAAATATAATTTGATATTTTTTTTAAATAATATCACCTGTATACCATATTAATTTGAAGATTTAGTACTAGATGGAAATGCAAATGATTTTTTGCACAATTGTGACATACCAAAACTCAGTGAGAATGATAACATGTTGTGTAATGGTAACTTAACTTTAAATGAATGTTCTATGGCCCTGCAGTCATTACCAAATAACAAAAAACACCAGGTGATGATGGTCTCTCCTCAGAGTTTTACAAAACTTTTCATCATGTAATTGGTAACTATGTGGTTAGGAGCCTAAATAAATCATTCTAGCTAACAGCCACACAAAAAAAAGGTGTCATTACTTTAATTGCGAAAACAGGAAAAGATAAAACATTACTCCAAAACTACAGGCCAATAACTCTCATTAATGTGGATGTTAAAATTGCATCAAAAGCTCTGCCAAAGCGTATTATAAAAGTTCTAACAATTATCCATTCAGATCAATGTGCCTTTGTAAAGGTTAGGTTTATTGGGGATGCTGTGCGAACAGTACTGATGTCATGTGGTTTCAAAGCTATACAACAGACCTGGAATTTTGTTATCGTTGAATTTTCATAAAGCATTTGATTCTTTAGATAAAGGATTTATTATGGAAGCATTAAAGACTTTTAATTTTTGTGGATTCATTTATTAAGTGGGTTAAAACTTTTTATAAAGTATCTCCTCCTGTGTTATGAACCATGGGTACTCCCCGGTTACTCTACTGGTTATTTCCTGGCCGATAGGGGGTTGCACCAAGGTGACCCCCCTATCCCCATACCTTTTTGTTGTAGTTATAGAACTGCTTGCAATCAATATCCGTAGAAACCCACAAGGAGCTTGTTATGAATTTTCAAAAAAAACACATATCAAGTTAGCAATGTATGCGGATGATATCACCTGTTTAAACCCCAAAAAAATAATTTGGACTGTTGGAATCAAAATTTTGGGAATTTACGTAATATATGACATCAAGAAATTTACTGAAGAGAATTTTTAACAAATCTGTGAATTATAGTCCCATGGAGAGAATACAAATTTTGAAAACGTTTGGGATATCACAGTTTGTGTATATAGCAACGATGGTTTAAACATCTAAAGACTGTTATTAAGGAATTAAAACAAATGTTTAATTTTATTTGGAACGGTAAAGATAAAGTGAAACATAATACTAAAGATGATTGAAATTTATTCTTTTTTGAAAGCCCAGAGATTTAAATGGATTAAAAAGTTTACCATGGGAGGTCAAGCCGGATGGCAGGTGATTATGCGAGACGTGTTAAGAAAGAATTTTGGTGGTAACATACTTTTTCTATGCACTTACGATGTACAGGAACTGAAAGAAATTGTCTCGCCATTTTTTCTGGATATTTGCCTTGAATGGGCAGCATTTGCACAAGTTTTCCCTGACTCACCTAATATAATAGACCATCAATGGCTTTGGAATAACAAATATATAAAAATTGGGAATCGTTCAGTTTATTTTAAATCACTTGCAATATTAATCGAATTATTGATTTATTCAACAATAAGAGCAATCGTCACAACTGGAATTACTGGAAAACAAAGGGATTATCAACTTTAGATTATTTACATATTCAGGGATTAAATTCTGCTATACCGATAAAAGTGGAAAATTCAAATTCATAATAACAGTCACAAGTGGTTTGAACCAGAAAATGTAATAGAATCTTCAACTATTAAATCTAGGTTGGAGTAACTGTATGATGCATCTCCAGTAATTATCAAGAACATTTGTAGTCTACCTTAGGGACGACGTCAAAAGATCGATGTCGGATAAAAAAAACTTAATTCCTTTAGTTTTTTTCCAAACCCCCCTACCCCCACTGAAACTTAATTGATAAATATTGGTCATGGCGTCAGACTACATTCACCATTAAATACAAATTGATAATCGGACAGTAGTATTGCATAGCAGTTGGTTGTCGGGTGGGTGTAAAAAGATTTTACAAATGCACCTCATTTGACGCACAGATTTACACTCGAACCAAACCATTTTTCTGTGTTTTTTTTTCCTTTTTCGGTTATTTCTGTCCATGATTGGATAAAAAAAAACGAACTACAAATACTCCAAGATGTTTTTGACTTCATTAAAAAATAAAATCGTTTTTGTAGGATGGAAAGTTTTTGAGGTCAAAACCCCCCACCCCCAAACTAAAGGAAATAAGTTTTTTATCCGACATCGATCTTTTGACGTCGTCCCTTACACTACTACAACATCAACAGATTTTAGAGCTTTTCAGTTTCATATCATCCATAAATGCATTCTGTTTTCAAAACTTTTTTGAATGGAAGTTGGTAGACTCCCCTCTATGCATTACCGTACGTGTCTTACAGAAATTGAAACTATAGAGCACTTGTTTGTAGAATGTCCTTGTGTACAGTTGTTGTTGGAAAAATTGCAGCAAAGCTGTAATTTAATTTCAAATACAGATTGTAATGTACAAAATATTATACTTTGCATTTATGAGGTGAAAATTATTATGTTGAATCATTTTTTATTAAAAAATACATACAAATGTAGAGAAGAAGCGAAAATCTTATCATTTTTTGGTTTCAAGGCATACATTAAAGACTATGAATATATAGAACATGAATTCACCTTAAAAACAGGCAAAATATATCATTATCAGAAATGAAAGTCGCTTAGGGTATGGATTAATGGGCAGCCACCCACTCACTCACTGCCAGCAGGCATCGCTGCTCAATTTTATAAATATCAAGGTAGTGAACTAGTTACAAATGTTATTTTGTAATTGTAAATTAATTTTTATATTATTGAGATAGCACAAACAAAACATGACAGCTGGCTTTGAAGGGTACAAAATAGAAAATGCCACATTAGCCCACATCTCATTCTTGCATTTTTTTTATGAAAATTCATCTATGCATAATTAATCCCCAGACTCTAAGATAGGAAAGAATTCTTGATTTTGATGTATTCTAATGATTAAAAAGTCCGCTAATCAGCATGGACTCAGATTTTGAATTAAATACATGGGCTATGTGTGACACTATGTACACATGTAATATTTTAAAAAGGATTGCTCACGGCATGTCTGAGACAGTCAGCTGATTTACAAGGAATAATCAAATAAATGCGTTTAATTTACCAATAATTACTATTGGAGCGACTATTTGTAAGCGGTGTGTGAATAGCTAAAATGATCAACAAAATGGCGTGTATGGTCTTACTAAATTGCTGTCAGAGACCAAAATCCTTACATATATACTGAAATGATGCTGTATTTTTTGTGCCTTGCACTGTTATCTATGGTTTCTTTACTTTTAAAAGTAGTCAGAAAGACATTGATTAATGTTTTTTGAGGCTAAGACTGTAAATGTGAACATGCACCGTATCCACATTTTGAATACCAGGGCCAAACCATTCGATGTAGGGGTGGCAGTTTTTTTTTCACATTTCCGTACAATAAAAACAGCATCTCCTCGTGTATGACAAGGTACTGTAAATACAATAAGGATTGTTATATCTCTCAACATGTCTTTCTTTATAGTTTCAAGCAGTATTCATACTGGCTGCCCCCATATAGTTAATATCAGTAAATTAATTGTATTTATTTAAATATCACTTGTACGCCCACTGAACATGGTCTCAGATATAGGTGCAGATTCATCTTCACATGTTGGTCCTTATACAAACTAAGACTAAAAAAATTCTACTGACGACCAGCATACCAGATAAAATGTACCATGGGGTAATCTTTATTTCATAATCTAAAAATGATGTACAACTACCTTGACTAAACACATGGCTGTACATGACATCAAATACCCTATGTACCCAAGCAGTGTTTAGTTATCGGTAGCTAGAATATATGGGGCATTCCACGTGCTGCATGCTATGCCACCAATGCCTAGGTACAATGCTAGTAATATTTCATCACAGGTGACTATTTACGATGGATTTGATTGGCTGAATGAAAACACTGTCACATTATCAACTATCTGATTCTGGAGAATTGCCTGCTCACTAATAAACATACATTATTTCACAAGGTGTGTGTGATGTTTACATAAATCTGAATGTGTAATATACTAGCGTTATACCTAGACAAAGAGACGTATAGTGAATGGAACATACATTCCAGGATGACAGTTGATATAGCCATGGCTGTTGAGGCAACATAAGTTTTAATAATAAATTTTAAAATATAAATTTCATGTGGCAGTGTAAATGACGAGTCTTAAAGAACAGCTTAAGGGAGAGTTAAACATGCGCCAGCCTTGGCTAGTTTATCAGCTTCTTCGTTGCCATGGATATTACTATGTCCAGGCACGTGTACCTATAAAGATAAAATTGTATAATCTTTCCATTAACCACATCAACTTTACTTTAGATTTTATACTAAAATCTATTTTTGAACGGCATACTGCAAAACATGTCTTTTTCGCGAACATGTCATTTTAGCGAATTTAGCAAGAGAACTGATTCGCTGATTTGAAATATGACTTAGGGATTTGTATACAGTAATCCGCAACATAAAAATCTGGGGCGCTTCCTAATTACACTTGACAGTTTTTCTTTGTTTTTATTGAAGTTATAACTGCGCATTTGTTTTGGCAGGCAACAGACAGGTATTGTGAAAACAGGAAATCAACAAAGACAAGAGAGATTCGTTAAATCAACATTTCGCTATTACGTCATTTTACCACAATTTGCTAAAATTGCACGTCGCTTTTTCAACATGTTTTACAGTATACAAGAAGCAATGAATGTTTTTACAGAGAAGAGTCTGTGAAAAAAAAAGTCTTATTTATGAAGAGCCTGCTACCTTTGATGTTTTCATGTTAGAAATTGACATCTAGAAATGGCAGATGAGTCTGATCAATTTGCTTAGAGATGCCTACTTTTCCTAAATATAAATTACTGTCTATGAGACACAAGACAAGTATTTTGGTTCTGGTTGTTACACACCAACCTAACCTAACATCTATCACCAACATTGTTCATATGCAATATAGTTATCTTTTTATTAAGTCACCCTCAAACAACAAGAAATACCCCCCAGGTACTGTAATGTATAATTCCACTAAAAGTACATGTACCATATATCAAACATTATAGTGAAGTCCTTTGAGCAAAAAAACTTATCCTCCTCAAATGAAGCCAATCCAAGCTAACTAAGAAATAACAGGAAATATACAGAATATGAAAAGATATTAAGATGAAAAACAATAGTTATTTACCCATTTGACATCAATCTGTTTACAGAGTGCATCTAACTCCACAATTTCTTCTTTATTGACCACCACTCCGGATTTTGTTTTCCAGTTGTTTCGTTTCCAGTTATGAATCCACTGTGTTATACCTTCAAATGAAATTTAATTTTTGATACTTTATATAGTTAAGACTTCTACTCAGGGTGCAATAATTTTAGCTATGGTGGTTGATTTGTTTTTGTCATGCGACACACTGCTGTCTAGTTGCGTTCCAAGCCATGCTTTTCACATTAATGTATTGGTCATATCAGTGCAGGGAACCCAAAAATAAAGCTTAGAATGCAAATTAGTCGGCAATGGTCACTGCAGAAAATTGTTTAGCCACTTCACAATGATGTACAAAATACTGTAAAATACTTTATAAATTTTCACTTAAATGAGATTTCGGTTGTTTTGTATGGAATAAATTTTCACTGATTTTTGACAAGTTCAATGTAAAATATAGGAACAACGGTATATTCGCTGGATTTTATTCTCACTGAATCATTCTTTCAGTGAAATTAGCGAAAATTAATTCCAAGCGATAAAACATTTCTACAGTAGCATAAATATTTTCTCAGATTAAGAGTTTAAATTGTAATACACTGTTACATGCACTTTATATTAAGGTAGAGATGCAGTTTATTTGGCTTGCTTTTGAAATGAGTAATTAGACAATGAAGAAATATAATGTTTGGTTTGCTAGCGAGCGAGAACTGATTTGAGAATAATTGCACATGCGCGTGATTGAATGAACTATGACCCGTACAATCTCGAATTGCATATTGTCAATCCTTTAAAGGTCCTGTTATTTGTTTACTCATGCAAATTAAGCAATTGGATATAAACATTGCCACGTGTGAGTGTTTTTTATTTTTAACCAGAAAATAACCAGCAATTTTAACAGTGTTCTAATAAGAGCTCATTGGTCAAATTATCATAGAATGTTCTTTAGATAAAAAGCGAAAAAAAACTATTTTTGATTTAAATTCAAAGAATAAACTGCATCTCTACCTTAATCATTATGTTTTTTTGATGTGTAATTTATCTTTCTGAATGATTTCCTCAAATTGATTCATATAATTTATGATCTTACCCATTGGTGCAAAAGCAGCACAATTTAGTATTTGGTGTGGTCATGTACATTTATTATTATTATATTCCCATATAATAACAGTGACTTTAATGCATGGCACCCTCTTACTGTTAACTGCTTATTTTTAACTGATAAATTTTTTGGGAACAAATGGACATTTTTCATTTGGTTACAGATCTTGATTACAATTTTTTTGAAAAAAACATATGGAAAAATTTGTTAAGTATCTGACAAATGTGAACAAAAAAGTTAAACTGCGAAAACTGTCGATAGAATCATCATATACACTTTTAATCAGTGTTCCCTGTGAGAAATTTGGTACGAAGAAATATTTTTATTTCAGATCAAAAAACAACTTCAATGAAGTTTATTTGAAAATCGAAGAAAGCCTTTCGCAAAAAAGTCTAATTTCATTGATGAATTTGAGCTTCTCAGAGTCGTCATTGAGATAATTTTATGAAAATTTGGATCAGAGAGCACACACTTTCAGGTTTTTCTGTGAATTTTGTTAATTGGGATAAAATAACAACTTACAGTTTATGGTGAACATACTGTCAGTGTAAATGGTGATGCTTTTTATATTCATCTCAATAGCACATTCCAATGCTCTACTGGCTGCCTGATAAACATTAAAACAATAGTAAGGTTTAAAAGCAAGTATAATATGACAATTATAATATCCAGTTCTCTATATTCTATGATGACAATGTGAGCCACTGGCCCTCGACATCACAAATTAAACATCACATTCAATGAAACACTATTTATATCAACTTGAAATAAAATCTGCATGTCAACTACCCCCCATATTGCAATAATGGTGTGGTTTTTAGCCAATAAGTGCTGAAAGAGAATCCTTGCCACTGTGTGATGACAGTGGTTTTGTAATTTTTCCACAAAATACAGAAATATTCTAAAGCTGACGAACACTGTACACATCCATAACTAACTAACAAGGAAATAATTTAGTTATTGCTACTGTTTCACCAGTGTAATACCTTTATCTCAGCTCGTTGGTTTGTTTGTCGTCCGTCTACTCTTTCACTGATATTACGTGGATGACAGGGACCCCAGTAGACTCCTAGTCCTGCCCTGGCACCACGTCTACCATTAGACGTACAACAACCATCGGTGTATACGGCTACTCTATCAGCTGAAAAACACAAACACTTCGTTAGCTAACAATATGGTCCATATATTAAATAGAATTAATGAAATTGTTATGTGGATAAAATGAGACATTCTTAATTTTGTTATTTTTAATTAGCTGTTGAAGCACCATAATTTTTTTCTCTAAATTGATGATGTAACATTTTGTAAATTTTAGTATATTTTTTTAAAACTCATTGTTAATTTTGGACTAAATGAACATACGGTAATCTCCCATTTTCTATGTGCCTCGATCAAAATTTTGCACTGGTTAAACTGATAATTTGATAGTGTCTAAAATAAATACAGTGTGACAATTTTACAACAAAACATTGTGATACATTTATTAGATTAAATACCACAGACTGACTTTAACCCTTATCGAGGCAATTCAGTGTAAAAATATCATCAGTTTAGGGATTGTTTCAATCACAATTCTGTATTCACGACAGTCAATATTATAGAGGGATAATATTAGATAATTAGATAAAGATACACAAAATAGATTATCAATTGTTCACACTTTCTCGTCAGAATTCACTGCATGAAAGTACTAATCTGACAATCAATTGTTAACAGAAAAAATTAACGATAAATCTAATTTTTTTGTTGCATTATGGTTTGTAAAGACAAATAATCTGAGCTACAATGGCAATGTTTTTTCGAGGTGCAGACAAATTACAAATTTATTTGATTTTAAAAATTCACCTTTATTTACATCTATCTTGGCTCGTTTATTTTGTTGCTGATGAGAACTTGTCGATATTGGTCTTTTATGTTGCTGCTGAGGAGGTGGAGGAAGATGATGATGATGGGAACCTCCACTTGTGTGCACTGGACAACAAGAACACGAGGACGGAGGAATCAACTGAGTTCTTCCACTAGATTTTGAAGGCTTTCCATTGACATTAGATAATGCAGAATCTGCAAGGGGAACTGTTGGTGAAGAAGCTTGTGTCTGTGGATTGGCTGCTCTCGACTGCCATGTTTTGCCAGGGGATTGTTTGACAAATTCCCATGCCTGAGATAGCAATGGGAATTTCTTATACCTGGCTTTGGGAAATTCTTTCACTTGTTTCTCACACTCTGGCCTGTGGAAAAAGAAAATAATTATGCTGCAGTGCGCCCTCTATCTGTCAAAATGATCTTTGAGACTCCACTCGGTAAATTGTGCAACAATTTCAACTACTAACCATGTATTGTAAACACCAGGTTTTCTACCAACACGAACTGCATAAAAGAACTTTCCCATCGTGATAATTAAACACCTCTGAAAACACTCGTGTATCATTAAAATATGCCGCGTATTCAAGAACGACAGCTTATCCCAACATGGAGGCTGACATTTTATTACCCACAATACATCAAGAGCACCGAGTTACTGAAACTTTACAATATGGCTGTTAAATGAATACAATATTTCACAATCTTCGCATTACACTAAAATTTTGTATTTTGTTCTAAAATGTATAATATATTTTAAATATCTAGTGGTGGTAATTTAACTGTTTTTAATATTTTTAATAAACACAATGTTCGGCTGTCTCGCGGTCTGGAATATTTTCCACATAGCTAGGTAGCCTTGCCTCAGTCTTTTTCCTAAATGGCCGCATTTGAGTAGGTACGTACGGACGACTGCTACGACGGGAAACAGTCGATTTAATTGAAATAAACAGAATCTTGCATAGAATACATGCAGCCACCGAGTAATTGAAACATTTTTCTGTAAGATTGAATTGTAAGAAAGAGTCGATGGCAAATTTAAATACCTTTTTGAAGACGTTCTTTCAATGTTGTTGCTCAACTTTGGATGCATGTTTATGAGATGTATTCGTGTGTAAAAACGTAGGGCATGTACTTCCAGTATTAACGTTAATACGTGATCAGCAGTTTTATTAAGTGTGAATAAGTGTAATTTCAAAATTGAACGATCAATCGCAGAACTGATAATTTTATTCACCGGCCGTCAATCATGTTTATGAAATGCATGTATCGTGTGTTCTTATTCCATCGATAAAGTGTTTTATTTTCCATCTTTGTAGACACTGGCCACCATGTTCACAACCAGTGCAAAGATCGTCAAGCCTGCGGGCGAGAAGCCTGACGACTTTGAGCTCCAGGTGTCACAGGTAATGTATTTTTGTGGTAATCAAATTTGTAGAAATTAAAGGCTTGCATTTACTGTTTTTTTCATGTAGTGAATATTGTTTTTTTTGATGTGTTGATGGACTTGCTACCTTAACCTGTTATTGCTTCAGGGGCCAGTTTTTTGTTTTGGAATATAGAGGTCTCCGTCTATGTCACCAACCCTCCAGCACCGGATAGTTGCACACCTAAAATCTGTGGGAAATCTTAAGCTTTTCTTTAACAATGGTCTGTATTGAACCAAAAGATGCCTATTGATCAGAGTGTGCTCAGAAAACTGGCTTGAAAAACAAAACTAAAGATTTCTAAATTATTTCCGGACATAGACATGCACCATTCAATTCATTAACAGGATTTTTTACTTGATCCTTCATTACTGTACTACTGCATTACTGTAGAGTACTTTTTTGCTTGGAATTAATTTTTGCTATTTTCCCTGAAAGAATGATTCAAAAATCAGTGAAAATAAATTCCATACAAAACACCCAAATAATCTGTTCAACAAAAATTATGTCTAGCTAAAATAAAGTATTTTACAGTAGTTTTATGACTGTTTTCCTGAATATTGATACTTGATTGAATTTATCATTTGAATATTTCCAAAAATTTGTAATGATGTTTCTGTTTTAGGCCTTGTTAGAATTGGAGATGAATTCTGATTTGAAGCAACAGCTTAGAGAACTATGGATTACTGCATCCAAGGTAAGCCTTACTTATTTGTAAGTAAATATAGTTGAAAAAAAAACATGAACTTTTAGATCAAACTGTTTTATTGTATTCCTCTGAAATAAAGAACACTGATACTTTGTCTTCCAAGTTACGCTGGCAATTGTAAGTGATCACTATAAATTTGTTCTTTTCACATGATCCAACTTTAACAAAACTAGATCGATACTGCAACAGGTCCATTGCCCACTAGTCAATATTGCAATAAAAACATGCATTTAAAGTGTTACGCTCAACAAAATAATTTCTATGAATCTGATTGGTCATCAAATTTGTTCTTGATTTTCATTGTTCTGAAGAATAAACTTCAGTATGGCAAGTAAAATAAACATTTCATTCCCAGTATGCAAATTTCTTTCATAAATGAAACTGTTAAGATTTCACTTCCAGAATTATTTGCAATTTCGAGGGCTTTTTCTTTAAAAGGGAAGTTGATAAGTGAAATTTGCTAAATTAAATCCACATGAACATGTCGAATGACAATAGAACTCTTGTTTTTCTGACATGTTTGTGAACTTAAAACAGAATGAAATCACTCAAAACATCAGAATAATAAATGGTTTTATAGTATACTGTTCTTTGTTGTTTTTTGTAGGAAATTGATGTTGGTGCAAGTAAAAAGGCCATTATCATCTTTGTGCCTGTCCCTCAGCAAAAAGCTTTTCAAAAGATACAAACACGACTTGTACGTGAGCTTGAGAAGAAATTCAGTGGTAAACATGTTGTATTTATTGCACAGGTAAGTAGGAGTGTTAAGAAGAATGAGATATGATAATGGTAAATGAAACTACACCAATGATCTCTTAATGGCAATCATGTACCAGGGTTTTTTCTAGAAAAAAAACTGCAAGAAGCACTGCAATTCAGCAGTGCCACCAAGTGGGGGAGATAGGGTTCTCCCTACCAGGGTGTGGAATTTTTGATAATTCTAAGTTAAAATTCTAAGTTAAAACTATCAGACGGTCACAGTTGAAGACTGGCCACATGTGATCTTTGGTCATTCAGAATTTTATGGTTGCCAGAGGATCTGCTCCCCAGGGTAAGGGGGCGCATAGCCATGGCATAAGGGTGCTGCGCCCCTGTTCCCTTGTTCAAAAAAATCCCTGATGTACAATGGTCTTGATAACTATGAATAATCATATTTAAATACTATTTAATGGATTCCTGATTTATAGCCATGCTCGTTGTCTTGCTGTGTTTCTGTCCTCGCTTGTCTTTAATTGACTACACCATAGTGTCTTGCATGGAATTGGATGGAACAAATTGCAGTAGTGAAAATATTGTGTAATTTTATGACCAATGAAAAATGGCATTTCATGTATTAGGACATTAAATATGTCTGTACATTTGTTTGCTGCAAACTCGTGGTTTACCTTGCAAAATGGCGGCTATACGCGCAAGAGCTCTCACAATCTGAAACTTTTTCTTGTTTTTTAACTCCCATGTGCAAAGCACATAATGGGTTAAAATCTGTACATATTAATTACCTAATTTGCATAATTAACCAATTTTAAGCTTTCACACTGATATCTAAAGTACTAATTATTCCATTTCAATGAAAGTTGGTACAAAGATGCTCTAGGACAATGTACAAACCTAATTAGTTTGGGGTAAAAATCTGTTCATATTAATTCCCTAATTAGCGTAATAATTCATAATTTTTTTGTTCTAATCACATTTCAATTAAAGTTGGTACATATATTTTCTGTTACATTGCGCAGACCTCATTATTTTTACACTAAAATCTGTTCATATTAGTTTTTGCATAATTAGTTTTCAGCTAAGTAATTTCAAATTATATTTAATGTGTTAAATACTCTCATTACATGGGAGTTCTTTCTAAGCTTTCTTTGATTTAGAGGTTGTAAAGATTGTGATCTATCTATCCAGGGTTCTCCCCAGGGCTTTTTAGCGCCGAGGTCCGCGGCGCTATACTTGTGAAGCTCGGCGCTTTACTTGAGACCTCGGCGCTTAGTGTTCCGACCTCGGCGCTTGATTTCATATTTGACATGCCAATATCAGATGTGCAAAAGCTTTGTTCGCCACGCTGGTCAGCCCCGGCCGTCACTCAAAATTAGTGACCACAACGGAAACGCTTCCGACCAGGACTATTGTCCGATTGTTATTATAATTACGTACCGACCGACACGCATCCTGCCAGTCGTGATTATAATTTGTAAACAATAGACCTAGTCGCACGATACGTAGCGGCTAGTCAAATTTGTGAAATTAGCACCTCTTTTTTGTAAGTAAATACTTTCTGCGATAGACACAGTC